GAAGGAGAGGAGGAGGAAAAAAGGAGAAGGGGAAGAGGGGAAAGGTGAAAAGTGAAAAGAGAAAGGAGAGGAAGAAAAAAAGAGAAGAGAAGGAGAGGAGGAGGAAAAAAGGAGAAGGGGAAAAGAGGAAAGGAGGAAAGAGAAAAAAGAAAGGGAAAAGAAGGGGAAGAGGGGAAAGGAGAAAAGAGAAGAGGAGGAGGAAGACGAGGAGAGGAGGAAGAAAAAAAGGAGGCAGGGGAGGAGAGGAGAAGAGGGATTCTGGACGTTGCATCACCTCTACCTCTTCCTCTTCCTCGTCTCTACCAGCCCTGCCAAAGTGTCGTTTCCACCTGTCATCTCTTGCTAAAAGAAGGCCAGAGATGGCTCTGGGGGCCCCAGAAACAAGGTTTTGGTATTTTTAGAACATGCATACGTGTGTATACACACACACACACACACACACAGACACACAGACATACACAGACACACACACACACAGACAGGCAGACCTCCTCCTTTCTTTGGCAGGAGGCCATAAATCAATGGCAACCAGGTCGCAGGAAAGAAAGCTTTTAAGAGTATAGTCCAGAAATCGAAATACCGTGAAAAGCATTTTACTGTTTTGTTTGGGCCCGTTCTTTTTTCTTCTTCTTCTTCTTCTTCTTGTGTCGCCCTTAGTTTGTATCACTGTTTTTAATCTTCTTGATTGCCTTTGTATAATGCATCCCCGTATCCTATAACGTGATGTACAGGCAGTCCTCGACTTACGGCGATACCCCAAATTTCCTGCTGCTAAGCGAGGAAGCTGTGAAGTGAGTTTGACAACGTTCCTTGCGCCGGTGGTTAAGGGGATCCCTGCCAATGTCGTGTTTGTGGATCTGGCTTGTCAGAAGGGGTTGCAAAAGGGGATAATGTGTCACACACACACACACACACAAACACACACACACACACACCAGGAGTTGCCAAGCGTCTGAATTTTTGGTTATCATTTTTAATTTTTTTTACTATAATCGTTCCGTCTTCAGTTGATTAATCTAGTTTTGACGAAAGCTTCAACATCCCGTCCCGTTTTCCCTTTCCCCCTCTCTTCCCCCCCCTCCCCCGATGCCTCTGGATCATCCACCTTGCTCCTTTTGCAGAATATGAATTCGGTGTTCAAAACGGTTCTTGACTTGACCTACCCCATCACGTCCATGTTCTCCGGGGCCTCGTTTAACAACGGCATCTGCGACATCTTCAGAGATAAGCAGATCGAGGTAGGTGTGCTGACTTTTGCGCCCAGTGGCGGGATGCTGCCGGTTTAACAACTGCTTCGGCGCTTGCGCGGACGACGGAGCATTTAGAAGCTCGGTGGTTTTACCTTCCGAGTCAGCAACGGTAAGTAGGACCGCGAGGGAAATCAGCAGTGCCGCACAGGTGAGATGAGCTACAACGCAGGAAATGGAGGACAGGATAGGGCAGGGCCAAGTGATCGTTGGAACTACCAGTTCGTTCAAACCGGTACGAACCGGTGGCATTGTGCCCCTGGCTTGCATGCATCACAACACAGGAAGAGCGCAGAGTTTCTGACAGTTGTGTAATGGGCAAAGGGAAAAGCTTTAAGGTGGCTGGTGTGTTATCATTTAAGCTCAGGGTTTTTTTTGCCACCTTCCAGATGCAATGGGCAACATCTGGCTGTTACTCCCAGAGCCCTTTCTTTTTAAAAAATGCATCCACCTTCAAAGTTATCAGTTTTCTTTTGGGTCAGCGGTGGTGCAACAAATTTAGCCCTTGGTCAGGCCAAGAGTCCCGTGGGACAAACATGGAATTTGATCCTCCATTATCCTCCCCAACAACCTTGTCAAGTGGAGGTGTTAACAAGGGGGAGGAGAACCCAGTGATTATGTTTAGCAACTGTGCGGCCCCAGAGAGCGATGGGGAAAAAAAAAAAGTGTGTAAAAATCCCGTGAATGAGGGGATTGCAAGTTAGGCTTGTAATTCAATGATGTAGAAGAGACGAGAAATGCGACAGTCGGTCTCTTTAGTGGCGCGACAGCACTGGGGCAGCACCTGCCTTCTTTCCGTTTCTCCTCCCTTCGACGCAACGGAGCGAGATGAGTAAACGGACCCCTTGCTAAAGGACGGTGTTAATCCAGGGTCTACATCTGTGCAGGGAACTGGGTCACCAGTTGGTTCTCGTTGATCCCTTTCTCTCTAACGAGCTCTTTCTGTGTGGCAGGATCTCTGGATTCCTTTCTTCATCATCACCACCGACATCAGTGCCTCGGCTATGAGGGTCCACACGGATGGTAGGCCTTGGCGGGAGGGGGCAACCGGGGCAAGGGGGGCTGGCAGGCCCTTTATACAGACCCTGGGTCGCCAAAGGGGAATCACATTGTCAGGATTCCGGCAGTCGCCCCCAAGTACATCCTGAGTCTCGGGCCAAAACTTCCAAAACTTAAAAGGGGTTTATTGGGAGTTAACATGTCCGGCTCTGCCTGGGTGTAGCTGATTCTGAGACACATCATTCATTGTCACCTTTAACCCCGGTCTTCCCCCCACCCCCTGGGTGTATCGTAATTCATATTCTCCAATGAGACACCTCCATAGCCCAGAGTCATCAATCGTATTCTCCAGGTAGAATTTTGCCCGGCAGAAACTTCGGTCACCTAGTTACTATCTTTGAAAACATTTATGGAATGCAGTTTCGGTTTGTAAGCTGCTGTCTCCTCCCTTTCTATTGGCAGCTCTAAAAAAACCCAGAGAAATATTTTATGAGTTGACACCCCAGGACATTGCGACCGTCGTAAATACGAACCCTCTGCTAAGCATCTGAATTTGGATCACGCGATTGGGCGGGGGGGGGGGGATGGACGCTGCAAACATCATCCTTGTGGAAAAACAGCCATATTCCTTTTTTTTTTCCCCAGGGCCGCCGTAACTTTCACTGGTCACTAAATGAACCGTTGTAAGCCAAAGGACTAGCTGTAGATTAAAATAATAATAATAATAATAATAACACACGTTTCCTCCCCTGACATCACAGGTTCTAAAAATAAGTATAAACTTCTCTTTCTTATTTTCTCTAAGTGACTCTTGGAAGGAACCGAGCTGAAGAGAAGGGAATAAACTGCGCTAAGCCCCCTTCTGCCCCCGCCAAGGCCTGATGCTGCCCTCCAAGTGCTAAATGGCCCTGAATTGTAATTAGCTAATTCAAGGGCTTTTTCGGTGACTTTAGTTACCGTCAGCCAAGAAAGCCCTGACTTGACAGCGTATTGGCTGGGCAGCCTTCGTTTCGAATCCTCCCCGGTTTGCAACACGATCCCCTTGAGAAATCATGCCAATCACGCCTTTCCCATCTCCACGGGTGGATTCTTCGCCCTTCTGAGGATCAGTTTGCTTCCTTTCTCGGGGCTCCAAAAGAAACGCAAAACCCCGAACCCCGGAAACAACGCGAACTCCAACCCTGCCGTGACTTAGGGAAGGCGAGGCCTTGCGTTTTTTCTTCTCCCAGCTTCCAAGCCCCAGGGAGCAGATCCAACCCTTTTCTGCTGATTAAAAACAATCGGGCTTGTAATAGTGATAAATCTCCCCCATTACAGGGCCGACGAGAACGAATGGCACCAATTTAAGACAGCGGCAAGACTCTCTCCCGTGCCACGAAAAAGTTTGGCAAGAAGACCGAGTTGGGTTCTGGCAGAATCCCCCTGCCCAGAATGAGATCCCTCTCGGATTCCTAGTCTCCCCCTACCCTCCCAAGGTAGGTTGCGGGGAGACAGACCAGGAATCTGAGAGGGATCTCATTCTGGGCAGGGGGCTCGGGGTGTGTGGAGAAGCTCAACCCAAGGTACTGATTTGTTTTGCCCTTGTCAAAAGTTGGCCAAGGTCATTGTTGGCCAACCCGGTGAGATCATTTGCAGTGAAATACAGGGGGTCCTTGACTTACAACAGTTTCCTGGACCGTTCTTCCCACTTAACAACCATTGCAGCATCCCCATTGTCACGTGACCACAATTCAGACAGTAAGTGACTCATGTTTGTGGCGGTTGTGGCGTCCGCGAGGTCACGCGATTCCCCTTTTGCGATCTTCTGACCAGCAGAGTCCAAGGGAAAGCCAGATTCATTTACCCACTGATCAGTCACTGATTTCAGAACTGCAGTGATCCACTTAACAACCATGGCAGGGAGACTCGTAAAACGGGAGGGGGGAAACTCACTTAGTGAATGTCTCCCTTAGCAACATGAACTGTAGGCTCAGTTGTGGTTGTAAGTACCATGAATAACCCATAAGAATTATGACAGGTGGAGGGGTTGGGCCAAACGAGGTCCATGTGTCAACTCGTAAAGCGTTCCTGGCCTGCTTTTGAGTTGCCATAGGCAGGAAGGGGGTGGGGGAGGGAGAACTGATGGAGAAGCTCGGTTGCTATGACCAGAAGCCCATTCCACACATGCCTTTCTCCAGATTGTATCCCAGGTTACTAGACCAAGCTGGAGAGCCCTGCCTGAGAAAGTGGGAGGAGGAGGGGCAACGGGGCCATAGGTAAATTACGTGGGCCAGAGCTGACTGCACTTGGGAAACGGGCAGACATGTTGCTCCTAATAAATAATTGGATTTATTTTGAAACTTGGCTCGAGGCTCATGAATTAATTAGGGCACCCATTGGAACCCTGACACCACGTTGGGAATGAGAGTAGCTGGGAAGTTACAACAGATTTGTTATTCCAGATCTATTCTTCTTCCCTCCCCCCCCCCAAAGGTTGTCTGTGGCGATACATCAGGGCCAGCATGTCTCTCTCCGGTTACTTGCCCCCTCTCTGCGATCCAAAAGACGGACATCTGCTAATGGATGGTGGCTACATCAATAACCTCCCAGGTACTCCCGAGATTCCTGTTCCTTTGGCATGAGATTCTTGTCCGGCCATGAATGTCCGCAGCATTGGTGGCCTTTCTCGTCCAGGAAGAACCCAATTGCGCGGAATAGGTGGAGGCGTAGTGGACAACCGCTTTAAGATCTTAAGCAGCTGCCCAAAAAAGGCCACTGCAGTTCTAGGTTGCATCAACCGCAGGGATAACGTCGACATCCCGTGAAGGATTTGTACTGCTTTTTGCGGGTTGGATGAGGCCACGCTTGGAATACCATGCCTAGTTTTGGTCACCACCAACAGAAGTTGTCGAGACTCTGGAAAGAGTGCAGAGAAGAGCCACAGAGATGATTAGAAGGCTGAATGGCTCAAACATACAATGAATGGTTGAAGGAACTAGGTAGTATCTCTAGTCCAGGTGTCGGCAACCTGCAGCTCCAGAGCCACATGCGACTCTTTGACCCCTCTCCTGCAGCTCCTTGCTGACCTGGCCGCGTGCCCTGCTCTCCGCCCCTTGGGGAGGATATCCCTGCTTGTGCACACAGAAAGAAAGGAAGGAAGGAAGGAAGGAAGGAAGGAAGGAAGGAAGGAAGGAAGGAAGGAAGGAAGGAAGGAAGGAAAGAAAGAGAAAGAAATGCGAGGGAGGGAGAGCGAAAGAGAGAGAGACAGAGACCCATTTTCCACAGAAAACACTGGGAGTCACAAAACCTGGGTAGGTGTGGCAGGGGGGTCATGTGACTGGGTGGGAATGATGTTGAGTTGGCCACGCCCACCAAGGTGTTTTGGCTCCCAGTGTTTTTTTTCCCCTGTGGGAAACGGGTCCAAATGGCTCTTTGAGTGTTGAAGGCTGCCGACTCCTGGTCTAGTCTAACGGAGAGAAGGACTTGCGGGGTGACATGACAGCAGTCTTCCAATCTTTGAGGAGCTGTCCCAGAGAAGAGGGAGTCAAGCTCTTCTCCAAAGCACCTGAAAGCAGGACGAGAAGTTAACAGGTAGAAACCCATCAGGGGGAGATGCAGCCTAGAAATTCCCCGGAACTATTGATCAGTGGAACCGCTTGTCTCCAGAAGTTATGGATCCTCCTTCCTAGGTGAGGCAGCCATTTGTCTGGAACAGGATAGGGTCTCCTGCCAGAGCAGGGGGTTGGGGGTTGGTCTAGCAGACCTCCAGGGTGCCTTCCAGCTCCCTTTTATGTTCCGTCCCAACTTTCTGCTGCGTTTTTTGAAGGCCGCTTTCCTTGCTCGCTTCTCACTGCCAAATAGACCAGGCCAAGATTGAGCGTCCTTCCTCCAAGGACGTCCCGTCCTCCTTCGCGCGGTTGGAAACGGCTTCGAACTGGGCCTTTTGTCAGTTTTGGGTCGTGATGTCCACTGTGTGTTATTGAAAGAGGAACCGACGACGGCGACAAAAAGTCTCGGTCGGGGCGCCCAGCACCGAGTTCAATTGTGCTGCTTTGAGACAGGCGTCGTGTGGAAGAGCGGCTTTGACCAAAAAAAAAAAGAGGCCGAGCTGCAAAAATCTCTCGCTTCCGTCAACCAGGCGGGAAACTAAAATGGCACTTTGTGGTGGCCTCTCATCCTTTTCTCGCTTCCCTTGTCTTCTCCGTCGCCCTGGCCTCCCTGAGGGGAGAACGTTGAGTCACTCCTTCCCTACAAAAGCCTTTTCTTCCTTCAAGAGACATCCTATTCAGGGCTGGGTTTTCAATGGAGAACAGCAGGAACACGGAGGCCTCATCGATCACCTGAATCGTGCTGTTTTTTTTTTTTTTCCTTTCATTAAATACATTTTTTAAATACTCTTCCTCCCCCTCTTAAATATACATCTCTATTGTGTGTGAAGAGAGTTGGTTTTGGGTATCGTTCCTATTGTTCCAATTCAACCCAAGAATATTATCCATCTCTACGACCTTTGTCAATTTTAAGCAATCCTCTTTTATATTGTTTTAAACCTACATCAGCAAAAAATGCCTAATTCCTCGTCTCTATCTTCCTCTAGGTCTTTCTCATTCAATCTAAACATTATTGTCTTAATTCTAGTTAATTAATTCTAAGCATCATTCCTATTGCTCCAATTCATCCTAAGAATATTATCCAACTATGACATTTGTCAATTTTAAGTAATTATTTCTTAACCCAAGGTCCCTTCCAACTCTTGTAATTCTGTTATTTTTGAAAACGAAGGGATGCTCCAAAATGTACCAAAAACAAAAATAAAAACCTGTCAAGGCGAATAGGAAATTTATTCAAGAGAGATCCAACCTAGAAATAAGAAATTTCCTGACAAGATAGGCCAATGAGTCAGTGGAATGACTTGCCTGCAGAGGGTATGGATGCTCCATCACTGGAGGCTTTCAAGAAGAGACTGGGCAGCCACCTGTCTGGTGTAGGGTGACCTGGCTGTCCGTGTGTGTGTGTGTGTGTGTGTGTGTGTGTGTTGGACTAGAAGACCTCTGGGTTCCCCTTCCAACTCCGTTCTCCTGCTTTCTCCTGACAGCGGACGTTGCCCGATCCATGGGAGCCAAGGTCGTCATCGCCATCGACGTGGGCAGCAGAGACGAGACGGACCTCACCAATTACGGAGACGCACTTTCCGGCTGGTGGTTGCTGTGGAAACGGTGGAACCCATTAGTGGAGAAAGTGAAGGTGAGGTGGTTAAACTGGTTGTAAGTCGAGGACTAGCCGCTGTGGTTTTTGAAGGGAGGCTGCGCGAAGGCAGGTTTGACTTCTCTCTCTCTCTCTCTTTCTGTCCATCTCTCTCTGTCTGTCCCTTTCTCTCTCTTCTCTCTCTCTCTCTTTTTCTCTGTCTCTCTCTCTCTCTCTCCGTCTGCCTCTGTCCATCCATCCGTCTCTCTCTCTCTCTCTCTCTCTCTCTCTCTCTTTTGGACAGGTGCTGAACATGGCCGAGATCCAGACTCGGCTGGCCTATGTCTGTTGCGTCCGGCAGTTGGAGATGGTCAAGAACAGCGACTATTGCGAATATATCCGGCCACCCATCGATCACTACGGGACGCTGGAATTTGGGAAATTCGATGAAATCTGCGTGCGTTGTAGGGCAGGGAGGGGCAGCAGAAGGAAGGAAGTCGCGGAAGGGGAGATATGCGGCTGGGAAGGGAGGCGGTATTCAAAAGGAGCAGCCCCGGGTTCAAAACTGCTGCTGTTTCGACACAAGACAAGCGCTGGAAGCGACCGATTACCCTAAAGGGGATTATTTGGGTGTAGGTTGGGGTAATGGAGTCCTTTGACGGGGGTTGCTGGGAATCAAGGATCCAGTTTGGGATGGATGGATGGATGGATGGATGGATGGATGGATGGATGGATGGGTACCCATTGATAGACATGGGTAGATAGCAAGCTAGATCTTTCTGTTTTTTCTCTCTCATTTTGAGTAGCGATAGATAGGCAGGCAGGCAGGCAGACATGGATAGAGATGGATAGAGATAGGTAGATCTTTCTCTTTTCTCTCATTTTGAGTAGCAATGGATGGATGGATGGATGGATGGAGATAGATAGATAGATAGATGATAGATAGACAGATAGATAGATAGACAGATAGATAGATAGACAGACAGACAGACATGGATAGCCATGGATAGAGATAGGTAGATAGATAAATCTTTTTCTCTCTCATTTTGAGTAGCGATAGATAGATAGATAGATAGATAGATAGATAGATAGATAGATAGAT